AGATTTTGATGAAATTTGGTATGAAGATAGATTTTTAGGTGGTTCGGGTCAACATAAAGGATACTTTTTACTACGGGAAAATATCTCGTCTCTGAGAAATCTATACTAACCGTTAATACATACCAAGGGACGAACCCGAGCGGAGCGAGCGTGAGTCGCTAGTAATAAATAGAAAGGTTTAATTTCTTCCGCTTTATAATATTAGTATAGAAATATACATCAAAATAGTGTATCTGTGTGCTAAGTGCAATTTTTAACGCAATTCTTTTGAATGATTCGCTATTGCATTAATCGAGTAAAAGTCAAATTCATTAAACTTAGTTAGATTTTATTGACAATACATTATAATAAGTAACCAAAAAAAGAATTAATAATATTAAATATATTATTACGATATTGTGAAAAACTACACTTTATTTTTAATATGGCATCAGGTGGCCAGTTATGAAGGAAAACTCAAGATATCTTCGTAGAAAAACAAACTTACCTCAGCAACGTGCAATATCAATTTCAAGATTGCATACTTTACTTTTACAGGAGTCTATAAAAGAGCTCCTTGTTATTACACACGTTCTGTCTGGATTTTCCGGATACGATAAGTATAACATATGCTATTTACATTAGCACAGTATAATTATTAGTCATTCGTTTGACAAGGTCTTATTGAGCTCAATATTTGTTCAAATCGAACAATGCTAGCCTGAAATATGAATGCTTACGCTTTTTCCATTTGCGATTTTCTTTTTATTAAAAAGTACTGTTGCTTTACTGTGACTTCACCCAAATATTTATTTCTATTTACTATCTAACATATATTGATTTAAAAAATATAAAACCAAGATGTGTCTTTAGATCTGCTTGACTCATTGACATTGACCATTTAAGTTTTATAGTATACTAGCATTGCCCGCGGATCTGCTCGCGTTCAGATGACCAAAAACCAAATTCTTAGATTTCACATAACAGTATACTCTTACTTTGCAGTTTTTGTATTTTTTCTCAGAAATGCGATATTTTCCCGCGGTAAAAAGTATCCTATGTGTTGATCCGGATAACCAGCTATCACCATACCAAATTTCATCAAAATCCCTCTAGTGGCTTTTCTGTGATGCGGTAACAGACAGACCGACAAACAAACATACAGACAGAGAAAAAAATCTAAAATCTAAATTCGGCCCCTGTATCGATAATAATGACAATTTCAATAAGATTTTCCAAAAAATATTTAATGTACAGATTCGACTTAGTTACAATTTTATTATTTGTATAGATAGATAGAAGAATCTGTGACCTTGAGTTTACTAACCAGGTATCCAGTCACTGTGCCAGTTTATAGCGTATTAGTGTTGTATTGTAATTCAAGTAGTAAACTTGAAATTATTAGATCAGGTAACGTTACGGCTTACTCAAAGTAGCCTCTATTGAGGAAGAACTCGTTATTCAATGATTAAGGGAAGAACTCATAAGATAAGGTCGTGGGAAAAAATACCTGCTTTTATACGTACAATATGTTTATTAGTCATATGAAGTTTGTGTTTGGATTTTCTTTGTAAATAAGAAAATTGTACGCTATTTTCAATATAAAAATTTGAAAAATTGATAAGTTTTAAAGTTTATGGACGTAATTTTTGTTATGGAGAAGTTATCATAGGAGCATACCTATATTACTAACATATATTTTTATTTTCATTCAGCCCTTTTTAACATCCCACTGCCTCTTCCAGGGCTTCCCTCCAATACGACGGGGATCAGGCCATAGCCCATCACGCTGGCCAAGTGCCGATTGGCAGACTTAACATGTCTTTCAAAAACTTGCTAATTTCTCTCAGACATGCAGGTTTTCTCACTATATCTTCCTTCGCCGTAAGGGAAATGGTAATCATGTTTGAAATGATTCGTACATGAAAATATCATAGGTGCGAGACCCGGGATTTGAAACCCCTTCACTCGGTTACCTAAGCGAGCACGTTATCACTGGCCACTGGGCTACCACTACCTGTCACATATAATAATGGAAATTAAAAAAAAATCACTATAAATAAAGGCAGATTTTAAATGTTATAGTTTGAAATAGTATACTCGTAAACTCAATTATAAGAATCAGTAACTGTTGCGGACATCGCGGTATTTAGTTTTCATCTGCAGCCTTGAGAGTTTCTTCAAGTAGGCTAATTGTTTAAGTGACTCCATTTAAATAAATAATACTTTTTATTTATTATTTTAAAGAAGTTTCTTTTAATCAGTACGTATTAAAAATTGTAATGGGTTTAAAGATGATTTTTAATTTTTTATTTATTACTAGCGTTGCCCGCGGCTCCGCCCGCGTTCAGATGACCAAAAACGAAATTCTTAGGTTTTACATATCAGTATACTCTTACAATGCAGTTTTTGTATTTTTTCTCAGAAATGAGATATTTTCCCGCGGTAAAAAGTATCCTATATGTTGACCCGGATAACCAGCTATCATCATACCAAATTTCATCAAAATCTTTCCAGTGGTTTTCTCATGATGCGGCAACAGACAGACAGACAGACAGACAAAAATTCCTAAAACTATATATTCGGACTCTGTATCGATAATAATGTCTATTTCAATTAGATTTTCCAAAAAATATTTAATGTACAGATTCGACTTACTTGCAATTTTATTATATGTATAGATTAAATTGATTTTAAATGAACTCTATCATGCTAGAACGGCTTAATAGATCTGAATGAAATTTGAAACAGATAGTAGGCAGACAGGATATAGTCTGGATATATATGTTTGTGTCTGGAATAGCACATTTGTAGGTTACTTTTTATTTCGGAAAAATGTACGGTTCCCGTGAGATAGATTTATTTTTGTCTTGGGACGAACCCGATGCGAAGCAAGGCAGAGTCGATAGTATCTTATAAAGGATCATGTTTTAAAGAGTTATGTAGAAATAAATATATAATATGTAAACAAAGTCGTAAGAAATTGCTTGATATTTAAAATAAGGTCAAGAATGAATATAGCGAAAGAAATAAGAAGTAATGAAAAAAGCTTTAAAACTTTCCCACTTCTCACTTTGCAAGACTGAAAATTGAAGCATGATAGATAGTTACCATGCTTTGTTGCTAATTGCAGGCAGTGTAAAAGAGAATACTATTTCCACGCCATATAATTAAGACTCATTTACTAGCATCTCTATCGCTCTAGTTTCTTACCTGTTCAATAATATTAAATTTTTATTTCATTACAAACTAATATGTCCATAAAATAGGTTATAATTTTCTATTTAATTGTTAGAGCTAAAAAGCTAATCGGCGACGAAAAGCTTGTGAAAACTAAGCTTCACAGCTTAGCACACCGTCGTCAAGTTGCTTGTCTGTCGGTTTTCTACAGACTGTACTTCGGGGAGTGTGCCCACGAGCTCCACAGTCTCATACCGCCATCGCCATTCTTCTATCGGAACACCAGACGTACTGCAGGATACCATCCTTTCTTGGTTGACATTCCTACCACTCGCACTAAGCGCTATTCATCATTTTTTATATTGCGTACAGCCAAGAATTGGAATGCCCTGCCTACGTCTGTTTTTCCGAGAGCGTACAACTTGAAAAATTTTAAGGTGCGTGTCAACAGGCTTCTTCTGGGCAAACTCAGTACATCATAGACCTTATCTATACATTTAAGCTAAGAAGAAGGTCAAGAGTGAGCCTATTTAAAAAAAAAAAAAAGTATATATGTACCTATTCAAAGTGTCCGTGTCCTTGGACGAGTTCGGCACAGTTTGTGTTTTTATGTGTTTTTATTAATAATTTTTTTGGTTAAGAAATACTTTTTCAATTTTACAGAATAATTTGCGCAAATTGTTAACTCTAAAAAAATGAGGTTAAAGCTTTTTTTACTGATTTGTAATCAATGACGAACGAATAACTAATGACTTCACACCACTGAACCGTTAGTGATAATAATTGTAATTGTAATATTATAAGTTGACTCGGTAAAAAGTTCCAGAAGAGTTCAAATTCGAAGGATTATTAGTAGCCATTAAATAATTCCACTGACATAATATAATTTCAAAGCCATGCGACAGTACGAAGAAGAATAATATCGACGTTTACTTTATCCCGGGTTTCGCACCTTTGATATTTTCATGTGCCAATAATTTCCAATATGATTACCACTTGTCTAAGTAGGTATGTAGTGAAGGAAAACATCTGGAGAAAACCTTCATGTCTGAGAGAACTTAAAAATTTTCTGAAAGACGTGTGAAGTCTGCCAACCCGTATTGGCTAGCGTGGTGGACCATGGCCTGATTCCCCTCGTATTAGAATGCAAATAGAAGGCCCACCCCCAGCGATGGGACATTAAGGCTATATACAAAAGCATGTAATCTCAAACCATCATGCCCATCTTCATGCATTAATCTATATGCATTATACATTTTACCATATATATATCTGTAATTTTATCATTATGTAACTGGTAATTTTTATGAGATTGATGCCCACTTTATTTGTATACGTGTCATATAAATATCTATTAAAAATTATATTTAATAGTGAATTAATATCTTGTCGTAATATAGTTCCTCAACGACCGCGGACACGCCGGCGTTACAGTTAACAATACCATTCTTAGAAATTTAATTAATTTCTTAGACATTTACCTGGAGGTGTTAATGCAAGAGTTCCACATATATATGTGGAACTCTTTCATTAACACCTCCAGGTAAATGTCTAAGAAATTAATTATATCCCATATGGGAAGGAAGGACATATGAATATTCACCTCGAAAGGTAGCTAAATATGGGAAGCATATTTGTATAGTAGTGCTTTGTTACAGATTCATTGATTTCTTTGTAAATTGAAATGACAAAGCAATTATATCCAAATCAATTTTTTTTAAGTTTTGTCAAAGGTCCAAAAGTCTTCTTCAGTACAAAAATAATACTATTATGACAGGGGTATCGTATATTATCAACAACACTTGACAATACCAACGTGACAATCAGTGTCGTCAGAGCAAATGAGCCATATCCTGTGTCAATTGAGTGGGATTAAGCTGTTCGTTCTGATAGTTCATACGCCCGTGGCTCGCCTCTACGACTTGACTTGTAAGTACTGACTTTCTATCCTCGATTTACCTGTTACATATATAAATTGTGTTGCCCAATATAAGGCTCTTGAAGGCATTACAACGAATAAATGCTTTCTCTTGAATTTTTATCAGTGATTTCATAATTTATTTACATGACTTATAAATTCAGTTTTTAGCTTTAATGCGTAATATTTTTTTTTTATTCTGTTCGTATATATTCTATTTATATATATTCGTGTAAAATAGTGATTTACCCTAGCTTCGCTTGAATACTTTTCTAGCTGTCAAACAGTATGTGTTACTTTAAGTCGTAGTCTATTTGCATTCTAATTTTATCCAAATCTGTCCAGCCATCTCAGTGAGAAAAAATAAGAAACAAGCACATTCACAACTTTTGCAACAATAATAGTAGAAAATAAACATTATTATATTCAACTCTTTTTTTACATCACACTACTGGGCACGGGTCTCCTTTTAATACAAGGGAGATCAGTCAGGCCATAGTCCACTACGCTGGCCAACTGCGGGTCAGCGGACTTCACATGTCTTTCGAAAACTTGCTAGGTTTTATCAGGCATGTAGGTTTCCTCACGATGCTTAACATTAATTATTTAAGAAATAATGAAAAGAATTGATCAAATTAATCTGGTTAAGAAAAAGTAATGGAACTTTTACTGTATATTATATCAAATTATCTCTGACGTCTAAAGCAGTTTGATTTAAATTGGAATCATTAATAGTGTGCATAAAAAGTATTTTCAAAATATAACAGTTATTTGCAAATGTTTACACCCAATTTTGAATCGATTTTCGATTTCTATTGAGTGATTTGCTTATACTTTATAGATCCATAAAATATTTTCTTAGATTTACGCGAATATTTGACATTTTCAATAAATCTTTTCGGATTATTGCGCGGATTTATTTTTTTAACCTTATTTATGACTTTATAGATAAAACATATATATTAACCTGAATGACTGTTATTGCGATCCACACAGTGGGAACTAACTACATCTAATGGTCTGTTATTCGAAACGTCGGGAACCAAAAATCAAAATAAATCCGCAAAATAATCTGAAAAGATAGTTTTATTTAAGATCCTTAAAAGGTGGAATAGTTACATTTAAATTCATTATCAAGTCAATGTTACAATTTAGATTAAAAGTGTTTATTTATTTTATTATTCTTAACATAATTAAGAGAAAATAAGCCTCTATTGCTGTTTTACAATGATTACAATACAATAAATATGTATTACATTTGTTACTGATGATCGGTTTTCTCAACAACAGCTTGTCCTTCGACAAAGGCCTCCTCCAAAGATTTCCACCTATAACTGTCTCTTGCAGTTCTAATTCATTCTGGATTTGATCTGATATTAATATCAAATCTTAATATACTTTATTCAAATAGACGTTTACAAGCACTTTCGAATCGTTATTTTACATTTTCAAAATTAAAATTAAATGTTAGTATGTATGTCAGTGAGGAATCTACACTGGCTCAGAAGGCAGTTCTGCTAAAAAGAGCCGGCGATAAACTCAACAGTTGCTCATTTAAAATAATGTTTATTTACAATATTGCAATACAACAATTATCTACTTATTCTACGTGAGACCCAATCAGACATTAGTCTCACAACAATGGATCAACAACAAGGGGCCACCAGCAATCATGAAAAATGAATTTTATTTTCATTTTGTTTGATCCCTCAATGACCGCGGACACGCCGGCGTTACAGTTAACTATAGATTTCTTAGAGATTTAATCAATTTCTTAGAAATTTACCTAGAGGTGTTAAAAGTTAACATACTATCTTATTCAATGTCGTTTATATTATAATTTCAATTGTCCATTAAAAGGACATATTCTGTTCTGTTCATGTGAAGAGCGATTCGGTCTAAGTTGTTTTACGTAAAGAAAAGTGTTAATATCATACCATAAGGATATTCTTCTTATGTGGGTCATTCAACTTATGATTTGGGGGAATTAAAATCATGAACAATGTGTTATGTCACTCATCGTTATATATTTCAATATGTTTGTGTACCAAATAATGGCAAACAATATTTTTTTCTAGAAATTTAGTTAATCGTTGTTATATACATACATATAAAACCTTTCTTTAACTTATCTAAAAGAAATATTGCTAAAGATATCCATTTGTTCTTCTATCTCGTACCAGTGACGCAAAAAGATCAGCTCGACGTCTTGTATAGAAACTTGTAGGATATTGGCCAGACCACTCTGTGGCTGTTTATGCAAGCCGATGCATAAGGTACAGTTTATGCTAATTGGCGGTGCATTATAGTTCAAACATTAACAACATATTCCCTCCACAACCACGGACACGCCGGCGTTACAGTTAACAATAGATTTCTTAGAAATTTAATAACTTTTTTTTGAAATTTACCTGGAGGCGAAGTACTCTAGAAATTTTTTTGATCTAAAAAGGTAGATTATATCTAATTCAAATCACTTAAAAGAAATTATTCCACTAATTGTTTTTTTTTTAAATTCATATGAGAGCATCCTTGATGTAGCACCTATTTATGTATTAGAAAAATTATTGTAGTCAATTTATAATTGACAAAAATATACACACAAAAACATACAATCCAATTAAGTAACTTTCCTTTGTTGAAGTCGACCAAAAAGTCACTGAGTCATAATTAGGACTAGAGCGCAGCTAGAGTTAATTTTTGGTGTTTTATATATATATATATATATATATATATATATTATATATATTAATCTGATGATGGTAGTGGTATAGTTCTTATTTAGTAGGTTCTGGATAATAAGCTGGAACTTCTGGGTTCTTCTCTTACGCGAGTGAATATTGATTTACTGATTTATTATTTTATGCAGATACATCCAACATGAAGATCATCCTTTGTGTGATCGCGTGGCTGTCCGTGTGCCATTCCATGCCACCGGATAAGGTGAGTTAGAGGCCCGTTTTTGTTATTCGATACTATACATACAGTTGACTAAATAAAACGTATACAGTTTAAAATTTAAATCTTTCCAAAATAATATAAGCTATTATTAGAATAAAATAAAATAAATTTATTTTCAACGTAAAAATAACTGTCATTATTAATACAAAACCAATGGCATGGCAATTCTAATCATCTAAGGATAAAATATTTGCTTTTAGTTAAGTTTTATTTATATTGGCTTATTTTGTTTTATACAAAATCATATACGAATATGTATGTCACGGATGACTTAGTTAGCCGACAAGTGACGACGTTAAACACCTATTTTGAGAAGCTTATTAGATCTTATCCCGTTACACGTGTAATTTTATTAGTGACGCTTAAAATAAACTTTGTAAAGGTCTTTTAAAGGTACATTGAATAATTAACTGCTTTAAGTATATATAGTTAATTTTTCACTTCGTTGCTCTGTAATATGTACATATGTAGGTATTGCAGATCTGGAGGTTATGGGTTTGAGCCCCGAGTCAGCCAAGTATTTATTGGAATTTTTTGTTTGAAAAAGTCTCAGTATTACTGAGTGATGTGAAAATGGCGGTGTTTTATTCCGGTGACTCGGACACTTAGAGGGTACTTAAAACCATTTGTCCTTTACCTTTTCTCTCATTGATCGTCTCGATTGTTATTCCAATGGTCTTTGAGAGTGATAGGAAGAGAGTATGTTTTTGTGTCTATGTCTATATTGTCCAATAAATTATCTCCTTATACTAGCTAATTAGCTAGTCTCAGTGAAATTGGCTGCGGTGGTTGAAATCGCTTCTCTATTAGGTATATTATATTATACTTAGTCGACATATAGTATGGTATACATATGTACATTGTACATAAATATGTGTAACTAACACCGCTTAGTATGAAAGGTCACGATTTAATTTCCATATGGGTTGATTTTTTGTGTTTTTATGGTACAAAGAAGTTTTTTGGTGGGGAAGAAGTAGACGGTTTGCTATTAACATCCAGTAGCCGTAGCCGTAGTATACGTACTATATACACGAAGTTGTGGTAACGCGATAGGCATGTTCGCCTTAAGGGGTGACTATAGATTAAAGAAGATACGCCGATTTTTCTTCCATCACAGAAAATCACTTAGTTTTATTATTATGTCACCCTTAGGGGTGAATATTTTTTTAGGGTTCCGTAGTCATCAAGGAACCTTATAGTTTTGGCATGTTGGGTGTTCATTTATTTACATGTTTGGGTTTTCACTTCAGAAATAATATTCATTAAGCAGAATTATAGATATCAGAGTACAGTAATTGTCCGACATATAGCGTAAAATTGGACCAAAGGATGGCTTCCTTGTTCCAATCTGATGGCAGAGACATACAAAGACCACTTACAATATTAATTCTATGTAATTTAATAACTAAACATAATATATTATACATAGTTACAATAATATTTGTTAAAAAAATAAATGGTATATATTGAATTTATTTTAGACACACTAGCTGTTTACGATTTAACTAAAAAGTCTATGTCTGTCAGGTTTTTTAAAACTAGTTTATCTCCGGTTAGATTGCTTAGAATGTTACTCTTCGTCTGAGAGACACTTGGAATTTTTTACTTTCTTTTGACTCAGGTTTATGTGTTTTGCAAACGTTGTATTTTGAATTTGCAAATTTATTCCACGAGTTTTCACAAGAAAATGTTAAGGGGCATGTTACTTTAATATATGATAATCTATAAAGTTTTCGACCGTACCTGAAAAAGAAGAGATACTCAACTTTAGTGTATATTTTAAGCTATATAGATATATACCACAAAACTTATGATATATAATTTCTAAATAAAAAAAAAACTTTCTTTGTAATGAAACATGAATGTATATTTTAAAGCGGTTTTAAAATCGGTGTAATTTTTATATAGAAATTAATTTTCGAAGGAAGTAAATTACGATTCCGGTAGGGTAAGAATTGATTTCTAATATTGAACATACATTTTGGAGCAAACTAAAAAAATAAAATAACCAAAAAACATTGTGCACTCATATAAAAAAAAAACGTGTAAAAATCAGCTTATCCGTTTGTGGTTACGATAACTCAAGCAAGCACGGGTACAACACAGACAGATATTGGTTATAAAATATGACATCTGGTTGTTCTAAGTCAGAAAAATCTTTTAATTATCATAGTGTTCAGAACTTTTTTCATGCGACTCCGTAATAAATTGGAATAAACAATTACTTTGTGGTATTCTGGGATTTTCACTATAATGTCCTCTTGACCCACTCCATAACAGAAAAAAAATCAATAACTAAACTTGGCTCGACTCGGAACTCGAACACCAGATACTTTCTTAATACTTTCTTAGATTTACTTAATTATTTCATTTTATTTAATAATGTCGAACACAAGACCTCCAGATCTGCAACCGTATGCTAGCCACTAGACCACTGAGGTAGTAATTATTCATTATACTAGGGAGGTTGTAACTAGCAGTGTGATTTGTACATTGTTTGTCTCAAAATATCAAATATTTGGGAAGTTTCGTTCAGCGAATGCCTGGCGTTGAGAAATGCCATAAAACAAAATACAATTTGTAAAACTTGAAACGTCGAACAAAATAGGAAGTTTCAATGTTCTGACATTTTATTAGTGTCATAAAAAATCTGTCAAGTGCGAGCCTGACTCTCGCTTTGGGGGTTCCACCAGGTCACATAATAAAATATTATTTTATATTTGTACTAATATTATAAATGTGAAAGTGTGTTTGTATGTTTGTTTGTTTGTTTGTTTGTTTGTTTGTTTGTTTGTTTGTTTGTTTGTTTGTTTGTTTGTTTGTCCTTCTTTCACGTTGAAACGGAGTGACGGATTGGAGTGATTTTTTGTGTGGAGTTAGTTGGAGGGCTAGAGAGTGACATAGGCTACTTTTTATCGCGGGAGATTATCTCATTCCCACGGGAAAGCACGTTATAATGCAATCCAAAAAATAATTTATGATCAGAATTACTCGAACTTGCTATTAAATAAGTACGTATTCTAGCATTTCTTGAATTTCATCCCATAAGGGGGTAGAAAAGGGGAAAAAAATTTGTATGAAACCTACCATTTTAGTTTTTTTGTAGTTTTAGCGAGAGTGAAGAAGCGGTTCTGCTACTATTTTATATTTATTATATTGTATTTTTGAAATCATAAAATAACTTTTTAAAGACTTTTAATGACAATGTGTGGACTTGTTTTATTTATTTTGTTACAATATATAAATAACTGCTTTTATTGGGTACCTACATACGTACTTTGTTTAATTACATAGATATTTGATTGGGTTAAAAGTAAAATAAACTAATTTCATTATATGCAAAATAGTAATTTTATAGGCAGTAAAAAGGTGTATGCAACATAGTGTTCATAAAAATGCTGTTAATAATAAAAGTATTCTGTGTGGTTACTAAAAAAACACAACCAAAAATATCTCTTATTTTAAAACAAGTATCTACCTGGACTTCCGAACTTCGCTCGGATTTTTTGGCCTAAAGTACAATTTTGATTGTTGATCTTGCACCTTGGCCACTTGATCACGACGCTTACACCAGAGCGTGCAAATTACCGACCATATCTTGCGTGGAATAACGCAAAATAAAACTGCATGAAAACTTGAAAACGGGCTTTTTTTAGACATAAGACTAATCTAGATCGATTTATCGCCCCCGAAACCCCCTGTGTACTAAATTTCATGAAAATCGTTGGAGCCGTTTCCGGGATTCAAATTATATATATATATATATATATATATATATATATACAAGAATTGCTCGTGTAAAGATATAGGATATGTACCTATTTACATAATTTTTAAAGCGGATTTTAGACAATATTACTTTTCATAGCCATATAGCCATATTAACTAACAATTATAAACCTTCGGGTAAAATATCCGATACATAGATTTCATTCCATGTTCATACCATGTTCATACAAATGACAAAATCATAGATTATATTACTGCCATTTGGTTAGAACCATTAAAACAAATTATTAGGTAGTTTAAGAAAATATTGAAAGCAAAAATATACGTTTCAGAAAAAGTCACTGCATATGATAAAGACACGGAGCATAGACCTGAACAACGCCCATGGACTCGCCATGGAAAGTCGGCTGCAGAAAACTGTCACACCTACCGGCTATCGTTTAGAGCTCGAGCCGTATATGGAAGATGCTGTTTTCAAAGGCCATGTTAGTATAAACGTGACCTGGCTTGAAGACTCGGACAGAATCACCGTACATTGCGCTCACGACATTGAAATCACCGAGTCGGAAGTCAAGGCCTATTTGCCGAGTGGCTCGTAAGTTATACTTTTTTTTAGATTTACGCGAATATTTGACATTTTAAATAGAACTATCTTTTCGGATTATTTCCCGGATTTATTTAGATTTTTGGTTTCCGACGTTACACGTACGTACATCTTTGGTACTCATATAATCATTATACCTGTAACAAGTGTATAATACCCTTGAGACATCTAAAACCTTGGTTTCTCCTGTGATCATGATTGCTGTAAAACATTCGAAACGTCGGAAAACAAAAATCAAAATAAATCCGCAAAATAATCCGAAAATATAGTTTTATTTAAAAGTTATACTTTAATGATTTTTATGACCTCTAAATAAAATGAATTGTAACAAATTATTAAGGTTTTATTTTATTTTATTGTTGAAACTTAATTTACTAGTACGCCATTAATACATGGTATGTTCTTCTTGTATAAATCAATTGTAATTTTTGACATCATTGAAAATAGATCAATAATTCATCTTTACGCTATTTAAAATTTATTTAATTTCACAGGAATATATTACTACAGAAAATACCAATAAAAAGTATGGAAATGGATGTTAAGAAACCTATAATTACTCTCTTACTCGAGACATCTGTCCCGAAGAAGTCCACCGGCCATATAAACTTTAGTTTTAAAGGAAATATGCAAACAAGCAATACTGAAGCTTTCTTCAAAACTACTTATGCCACGGACCAAGATATTGAAAGGTAAGAAATTAAAAAGAATTAAAATAACAGTATAACTATTTGTTTTTAAATAATTATCTATACAGATAACTAAAATTGAAGTGTCTGTTTGTAACGTCAACATAAATTAATAGTATAAAAAACACATTTTTAAAAACAAACTTTTATTTAAGTGGCTTAAAAAGAAGAAAATACACTTTAAATAAAATTAAGCTCATCAATTTATGACATTACACAATTTATATAATATAAAAGTTTGTCGCGAGATCGACCTATTTGTAAAAAACATATTTTTTTTTTCTTAAAATTACTTCTGTCAAAATCAAGTTGCATATTGTATTATTTTTATCTATCATATATTCTATGTATATTCATATCTTTATATATATAATTCTTCTGTGAGTGTGTATGTCACTGAACTTCTCTCAAACGACTGGACCGATTTTGATGAAATTTTTTGTGTGTGTTCAAGGGGATCTGAGAATGGTTTAGATTCACAATTTCAATAATAATTTTCATCAAAATGGTCCAGAATGTTTTAGCTTATTAAAAAAAGTTTGTAATTTTCAAATTAAAGACGTGTAGACAGGACAACGTCTGTCGGGTCAGCTAGTCTACACTATATATGTACATGCTTGTGTACGTGCTTAACTGCCTCGGTGGTGTAGTGGCTAGCATGTACGGCTGCACACCCGGAGGTCCTGGGTTCGAGTCCCGGGTCGGGCCAAGTTTAGTTATTGAGTCTTTCTGTATAGTAAGTCTCAGTAACAGCCCGGAGTTGGGAAGTTGGCGGTGTTTTACCCCCGTGCGCCTTAACTCTCACCGGTCGTGTCGAGTGGTCGTCTCACCGAAGTATGAGAGTGATAGGAATAGAGAGTGCACTTGTGTCTGCGCGTACACTTGTGCACTATAATATCTCCTGCGCTGTTGGCTAATCTCAATGAGATTGGCCGCCGTAGCCGGAATCGGCTAGGAGAACATCATCATATATGTACATATATATATATATATATATGTATATATATATATATATATATATATATATATATGTATATGTATATATATATATATATATGTATGTATATATATATTTATATATTTATATATTCAGTAGAAACAAGTAATGGCTATGACATTAGATGGTTTCTTCTATTAAAGGAATGTAGTCGCCACTCAACTACGCCCTAACAACGCGAGACGTATGTTCCCGTGTTTCGACGAGCCTGGATACAAAACCCCCTTCGATTTGAGTGTGGTCCGACCTCGTAATATGGTGGCGTTGAGTAATATGCCAGTTGAGAGGACGGAAGATATGTAAGTTATTTTCATTGTTATTTGTGCATATATTTTTTTAATTCCATAATATTTAATTGCATAAAATTTAGAACAACGCTACAGTCTATTAAAAAAATAAAAAGCTTTGATTTTTAAAATTTAGATTATAATGTCTACTGAGTTTGATTATCTAATATTAAATCTCATATTTTATGCGTACACAAATTACTGATGATTTTTCTAATGGTATAGACAATGATATTATCATTTTTTAACTTCGGAACCCTTAATGCCTTACGATGTTTTTTTTTATTTTATATACAGAATGTTCCTTATCATAATATTTATACTGCATAAAGTTATTTTAATTATTTATTGCTAGGTATAACATAGTAAAAACATTATTTTTTATAGCAATGGTGAACCCAATGCAGTGTGGGATCATTTCAAACGAACCCCTCCAATGTCTACCTTCACTCTAGGCTTGATTATTGCAGACCTTAAGCAACTTGGCGAATCAATATTGTATAAAGACGACAATGGGAATACTATTGGTAAGAAACATAGTTGTTTAATGATATTTTCTATTAATTGCACAGATGATGTGTTGTACGAGGCTACGTTGGTATTGTAATTTGTGTGCCAGCTATCGCATAACGTCCTTCTATCGCGATTACAGGGTTCTACAGTAGATTTTAGAGTGTATGATTCTCATAGTAATGTAATTAAAAAAAACTTAAAAAAAAAAAAACAACCGACTTCAAAACCACAAAATAGGCACTCAAAAGCGAAAAATAAATTAATATAATTATAATAATAAGCGCTACCCACTCATCATTCGAAGTCGGAGCCAGCCAAGTCTAATAGGTAGTAGATAGATACTACCTACAAGTATCTACCTACTTACTACATACATAGTCCTTTTTGTAGTCGGATAAAAAAAAGAAAGATATCATTACATAATACATAGCAAATCTATACATATAATAAAATTCTGAGTCGAATCTCTACATTAAATATTTTTTGGAAAATCTTATTGAAATAATATTAATATCGATACAGAAGCGGAATCTATAGTTTTTAGAATTTTTGTCTGTCGGTCTGGCTGTCTACCTGTCTATCTGGGAACGCATCACGAGAAAACCATTGGATAGAATTTGATGAAATTTTGTGAGACATGATAGCTGGTTATCCGGGTTAAAATATAGGATACTTTTTACTGCGGGAAAATATCTCATCTTTGAGAAATTTATACTAAACGTTAAAACGTAATAAGTGACGAACCCGAGCGGAACGAGGCTGAGTCGCTAGTATTTTAATATATATGTCTATACTTTATCCAAACAAATATTACACCAATTTTTAATTTAATAGCAAGATGCCTATTACTAATTTAGGTCAGATAGAATACAACCTGTAATTCCATTTCGTAGACAGAAAAATTAGGAGGCTTAAATGTTAATTTATTTCGGAATTAAAATCATTTTTGGGATATTGCGAGGTGTCATATTTTCCTTTACGAGGAAAAGCTTATTAGTCTTTGAAAGCTACTGGCTAGAAGACCATTATTTTTGGAATTCAAAAGTAAGTAGTTGATTGCAAGAGCTGTAAATAAACTATGTTTGGGATTTTCGGATTTTGTTTTGCCCTTTTGTTTCCATCGTTTCGAATACTTTACAGCAAACATAGTCACGGGAACGATCAAGGTATTTGACATTAAAAGTTATATATCTACCGACAAAAAATTATAAAATAATGTTTAAAAAAATAGCACCGAAGTATCTTACAATACAAAACTTCTAATTATTACGCATTAATCCGAAAAGGTAGAATAATAGATCGAATACTCCTCAAAATAATTTTTAAAAAATTGGTTTTTATATTTTGGGAGATAACTTAATTCGGAAACAGGGCACTTACAAGACTCGCGTGACTAGATCTAGAACTATTTGTCCATCGATAACAATCTTTCCGAAATTCAATTCAAACCTACTGGACGATAAAAAAATATGCGAATTCATCGCTTTCGAGGGATTATTGCATAAATATAAAAGTTTTGAAATTAATTTAGTAGGAAATAAAAAAAAAATGATTTTGTGGTGTTCTTTAAGCCTCGTATATTTACATATAATAAAAGTGTAACTGATCGCTGTCTGAACATGGAAGATATTTTAGAAAAAAACTATTATTGGGGTTCTTTATTAACGCAATAGAACTCAAATCCATGATTTTTCGATTTTTTGTCTGTTTGTCTGTCTGTGCGTTTAATATTTAGTATTTGTTTTATTACAATAATTTCATAATTAAAGAAGTTATGTGAATTTAAAGAATCACCTAGGGGCGACCCCAAGCAAAGCAAGGGTGAGAGTCGCTAGTTTAAAATGGAAATCGTGTTAAGAATTTTATTTAATATATATATATATATATATATATATATATATATATATATATATATATATATATATATATATTTAACGTACATGCTTCAGACGTTGATGAATTTAATTATTTAGCAACTAAGGACCTACAAAAACACTTTGTTTACCAGAATAAACAGTAATTTTTGTCACTAAGGAATAATGTAGGTTTTCATTAGTGAAAGAAATTTCAAATCGAATCGAATATGAAGTTCTGGAGCTTTCATCCTCCATTCAAAATTACAAACTTTACCTCTTTATAATGTTAGAGTAGATTCAACTTTTATGACATAGAAGGCGTTACAGTCGTTGAATAGCGAGCATTAAGTTTTACAACCTACATTTAAATTTCATTTTAACATGAATTCTGGGAATTGAGTAAATATAAAGAGGGATTTAAGCAAACATAGTAAACAGTAATAATTATTGTTATAGAATTGCGTGTGTTGGGCCGTCCGGAGTACCTTTCAGCTTTAGAAGGGGTAAACAAAAAAGTAGCTCAAGTGTTTGCAGAAGTAGCCAATTTCTGGCAAGTTCCGCTACCTCTGAACAGATTGGATATCGTCGCTTTACCAAACTATCAGGGTGTAAAGCCGGCTGATAATTGGGGATTGATTGTGTTTAAGTAAGTACTTAATTTCTACATACATTATACATGTATATGTTACTGTAAAAGTCCGTATTGGTAAAATCTGACATGTACAAAAATCTGACGGTAAAAGTTCGAAACAACGTCTCCTTTTAATAAAAATCGTTACATTTACCTAATTTTATACAATTTCGTGTTGGTAAATCCTAAGATTTACCACAATACGGGATTTATAGTAACATATACGTATTATAATTAAATTCTAATAGATTCGCATTTAAGCATATACGTTTTGGAGATATTTTGTTTGAATTTGGTATATCAAAGAGTCCAAATTAAGAAATTTCCACATTGTTCTCTATCTAAACGTTTGATCGTAAGACGCGAGAAATACTGGACATTGGAATTTTAATCGAATAAATAACTAAAGTGTATCTATATAGCATACATATTTAGTAGTTAGTAACCAGTTGGAATTTCTGGAAAATCTTTGCAATCTTAGTTTGATAATCGTATATTGGCTAGTGTTACATAATTCTATAATATATAGACCATAGTATTTCATTAGGAAATAATAAAAATTAATTTGTGTTTATACCGTGCAAAATTATTTTCAATCGACTTCAAAACGGAGGAGGTTCTCAATTCGACAGTTTTTTTTATGTTTGTTACCTCAGAACTCCGTCATTTATTAACCGATTTGGTCAATATTTGTGTTGTTTGAAAGTGTATACTTTCAGATTGGTCCCATTTAAATTTCAAAAAAAATACCACCCCTAAGGGTGGAAAAATAGCTAATGATGAATTTAACCTACTTCTAATTGCCATATTGACTTGAAACTTTGCAAGTGTTTCTATTTCCGTTGATAGTACAGTGGTTCGGTATTATTGACCTGATCTGATGGTAAGGCCAGAGGGTGGATAGGTGGAACTCTATAACGGCTAAGAGTAGATACTTTGAGTTTGGGCTTATTTTGTTTGATTTGACAAGCCTAACACGTTAGAATCCTTACTTTGCTACTACTGTCTACACTAAAAACAGAAAAATAAAAACTTTTTAACAAAAAAATAAAAACCGACTTCAAACAAAAGCACTAAAAAGTAAAAAATAACTGATTGGTAGTTTTCATTTACTATACATACCTAATCAAATATTTTCGAAGTCGGTGTGCTTATCTACGAGTAGGTCCCTAAGATACGTAGCCTATGTTTTACGTTTTCTTCTCTGGTAACTTAATTTTACTTATCTGGTAACTAAATTTCTTTCAAATCCGTCAAAGCTGTTTTAGCGTGAAGGAGTAATAAACATACATACATAAACAAACTTTCGTATTTTCAAGAGTAATATCATTCACAGCTAAATCAAAAATATTTATTTAAATAATTCTTCCAAAATACCCCTTACCATGGCAACACCGAATACACAAATATATATTTATTTAACAATTTCAGTAATATTGTCCTATTTTGTACAGAGAAAGTGATTTGAGCACGCGCGGTTTCTTACAACTCGCGCAAGAGATATCGTATCAATGGCTGGGCGCGCTCGCGACACCCGCGTGGTGGTCTGACGCACATCTCAACAAAGCGCTTGTTGGTTATTTGGCTGCGGAAATAGCTTTTAAGGTGAGTTTAAGACTATACATATAGAAACCAAGCTCCTTTCGAGTGTTGTACATTATACTCAGCAACACTTGGCGTGTACGAGATAGACGGCAAAGAGTGTAATATTTTGACCGTCACGACACTGTTCACTAAGAGCACCCCGTGTGATGTGATCTTATGTATCAGGCGATCATATATGTTAAGATCATGTATGCAATAAGAAGTTCGTATGCATTCTTATGACGCCGTCTCACATACACATGTATATACGTAAAGGACGTTCCTTGAGGACTTGTGGTCCCCTAGTACTCTTGATAATTATTGTCACCAGATATTATGAGCTAAAGGCAGCCAATAATGTGACATCATGATAAGTACCAGTAGAGCATAAGTGCTAAGGAGTGTATGTTGTAAGAAATTAATGCATTGTGCAGGCGTTTCTTCTATGTGATTAAACATATACGTTGCTTGATGTTTTTGATACACACCACTCATGATAATTTGTATGAGCTAATTTATGAGTCAAGGGCAGACAGCAAAAGGTACTTCGCTCCTACTAGATGTCCCACGACACCTCTCGACATTTTATATATTTTTTGTGTATTAATATATTACATTATTAAAACGTATAAATAAAAAAAGCAGATGTAGCTTTTTTTAAGGTAAAAATAGTTTAATTATATTTTTTTTATTAATTTTAAATCATAAAGATTTAGAACTTTTTTATTGCAAGCAGATAAATTATTGTGATAAATCAGCGCAAAGTGTACGTTATATACCCAATTTCCTAGATAATATGAAATTATGCAACAATAAATACTTATTGTTAGTATTTTTTTTTATAAGTAGGTATTATAAATGATTTTAAAATAAAGAATATAGATAAAGTCTAACTAGTGTAGCTGTAGCTTAATTCAATATTTTTTGCTCCAAGTGACCTATAAGTTATACTTTAATATGATTTAAGAAACTAGAAAATTTAAACGACATATTTTTAGATCAACAATGGATCAGAAATGGAAGGTAAATGGCCGATGACAGTTCTATACTCCCTGTACTACGAGTTTAGCAAACGCTACCCCCACTCACGTATAACTGGCATGAAACAGGAGACCGCTTGCACTAAAATCGAACTTTTGTTCCGTATGTTCAATTATACTATTGGTGTAGACACTTTTAAGAAGGGACTGAGGATGTTTATTGAATCTAGGTAAGTGTTGGATTCAGATTTAACCGACTTCAAAGAAGGAGGTACTCTATTCTTCTGTATTTTTTGTATACTATGTTCATGATTCTTCTTTTAAAGAATATTTACGGTTTTACCTCAGTGGTGGACTAATATAGGTTCCATTTCTGAGGGTATAATATTTATTTTCAAGTGATTTTACAGTCTATGAGTTTGTTGTTAAAAAGTAACATATACCTAATTAATAATGGTACATATTTTATCAAATATTAGATACCTGAATTAGACCTAGGTTTCCAAATTTTGACTAAATTTTTTAATAACTTTGAAGCATGTATCTATATCTATGTTTATATAAATAAGATAGCTTAAAATATTTTATTATATAATATAGCTTATTAAAATTAATACCAAAATTATGATAACAGTAGAGTACATACACACGATACTGAAATATAATTTTCAGCTAAACTCTAAACAATGACGATCCAACGAGATGCTAGTAATATTGATATTTGCTTAATCTCTCACTTTAATCTGTTTGATCTTAGATTTCAGTTTGTCTAGTAAATTGTTTTCTGTTTTTCTTACTTGTAATGTTTTTCTTTGAATATGAAATTACAGCACAAATATTTTAGTACAAAATTATTTCAACTGGTGTAGTATTAAAATTTTAGAATCACAATTCTATAGCTACGAAATAAAAATTTAAAAATCCTCCTACGCAAATTAATTGTCATTTAATGATTACACTGGCGCGCGTGAAGCACTTAATCGAGTAATCATACGCCAAAATGCCTTACGTTATTTTGGAAAAGAGCTGATACTCTTACTCTTTTGGACCGATACTAACCAAACATAGCTAAGAATCACCGCTTTCAAATGAAAAAACCGCATCGAAATCGGTCCATCCGTTTGAGAGCTACGATGTCACAGACAGACATACACACACAGACAGACAGACAGACATCAACATCAAACTTATAACACCCCTCTTTTTGCGTCGGGGGTTAAAAATAGACTTAGCAGATTAAAGAGTACTTTCACGTTTGAATTTTGTAATAAAGAAAATTTTATGAAAGTTATGTAAAGTTATGCAAAATTTCTACTAGACCACAGCAGCTGAGTAATTAAATTCTAACTTTCGCTTTAGCCTTAGATTGCTTAAAAGTATACTATATTACGTATTTTTCTTATTAAAATAAATATTTTCTTAAAACTTTACATTAAGTTATAAGTTTAGAATCAAACTTAAAATTGTATTAAAATCACATTATTAGTAAAACTTAATTAGCAATTACAATCACAACATAAATGAAGCTCCTTATATTTGTGCTACTCATCTATATCTACCTCGATGTTCTCGTAGGTGACAGGTTCCATTTCTACATGGAATGAAAGTAGTGTTTAGCAACAAGATGTTTGTTTTGATAATACACAGCTTTGAAAACTTATTTTGTCCACAATGTCTCTATACAGTAGAATATCCCAAAGACATAAAATTATACTCCTAAGAACGTGATTCTGTCATTGATTTTATTTCTTGCGAAGGAGAAACCATATTTTCTGTTATTACTTGATTCTTGTATATTATTTTCTTAGAAAATTCAAGACATTCACTGGTGACGATATCTGGAATGCGCTGAACACTGCAGCCCTTACTGATGGGAAGATACCTAAAAATATAGATTTAAAGACAGTGGCTATGAGCTGGATAGAAAAGGATAGATTACCACTTATAACAGTTAAAAGGAATTACGATAGTAATACTGCTACAATTACTCAGGTGTATAAATTATTTATATGTATATAATGTAGCAATATAATAATTTAATATCAACTCAACATTTAATTTAAGCTTTTAAATATAACGTGCAATTATAGGATAGTTTTGTAATGTTTTTGCTATTTGTAATATGAAAGACACTACCTAACTGATTTATTACATATTCTAATTCTCAGTGAAAAGTTAAACCCTACTTTAACAGATTCAATCTATTGTGGTATATCAAATGATCTTTGAAATTTAAGTTATATCGTATAAATAATCTAAAACTTGTTAGAACCATAACTTATTTTTGGTACCAGTCATTAATTCAAAAATATCAAAATAGAAAGTCTATCTCCGAGAAAGACCTCATGATGTCCCGGACGCACATAAGATGTTCTGGTGGGCGCCTATCGTAATGGCAAGAGCTGACAAGCTGGATTTCACCAACACTTCTCCTGTGGCCTGGATGAAGAACAGCAGGCACTTGGAACTTACCGACTTGCCTGGGAAAGATCACTTCATAATTGTCAATCCTGAAGAAATTGGTAAGTTACATAATATTTTAACACGAAGAATATCGTTCATACTGACTTTTGGGCTAAAAGTTCTTATTTTATGAACTTCAAAAAAGGCGAAATTACTAGATTATTTTTTAAGGAATCGGTTACACTTCGTCGGAATAAAAAGAAAAATATTTCTGCGATTTTGAAGACGGTATACTTTTTTAGTTAAAAATATTTAATTTAATTAACTATTTCTTCAAATAATAGTTGAAGACTTTTCATTATCTTATAATATTTGTTAAGTCCATTCTTATACATATAAATGTGCTTTTTGAACGACTGCAAAAGAAGAAATTTCCCTATATTGTACCTATATTTTTGTGTGTTACGTGATATCTTCGTCAGTTGTAAATTGATTTTCATAATTGTTTTTTAATGAATGAGTTATACCTTGAAGGTGGTCTCATATTTTCAAAATAATTCTTGCCATAATGGTAGAATAATTACTTTTAAACTTATCTAAACTTTAGAGTTATATTTGAACATAAAACAGTAAGAACAATTCTTACAGCACCTTTCCCAGTGAACTACGAAAAGGATAATTGGAATCTTCTCTCAATCTATCTCCAAAGCGAACATCGAACTAAAATACCAGAACTTACAAGAGCCAAGTTGCTCCACGATGCATGGAATTTGGCATATGCAGGTGAACTATCATTTGCTACAGCCTTCAATATGACATTATTCATGAGACAAGAAAGGCACCATTTAGTATGGGATCCAGTTTTTACTATGATCGATCACATCGGAAGGCATATTTGCTTTTGTATTCAAGACAAGTTTAGGGTAAGGATTTATGTATTATGATAGCTATTATATAATATTTACCACCACTTAACGGGAGAGACTGACCCGTGGTCAATCATGATCTCTCCCGAACCATGACCTCTCCCGTAACCATGATTGCTGTAAAGCATTCGAAACGTCGGGAACCAAAAATCAAAATAAATTCGCGAAAAAATCCGAAAATATTGTTTTATTTAAAATGTCAAATATTCTCGTAAATCTAAGAAAGTATTAAATGTTTAATTTTTTATTTGCTTAGTGCAAATATTTGAATGATCGATTTCAACGGGACCTTAACTACGTTACCCTACCTACCCTAAAACATTTTGGCGTATGTAACTTTTTGACATGTGGTGTACAGAACATATGGCTAGCAATATAAAATAAATGATATTATGTTATGAAAAATCATATTTGCTTTAATCATATCAGAACAATCATGCGTGGATAGAAATAGTGCCTGACACAGATATCGAAGCTTAACCTAAGCGCTTGCAATTCTACGCTTTAATATGTCAAAGAAAATGTTGAAGTAAAATTTTTGGGAAAAATATGGAGTCGAATTGTTTAAGACAAAATCTTATTACTTCTGAATCAATGAATCTTGGAACTTTTATCGCTCAATACAGCTTAGAGTTCGATATTTTATTGGAAAGTTGTTCAGATAACAAATAAAATAAAAGATCGAAAAAGAAATATTTAAAGTGTTTGATTTAACGAGACGTTTAGCTCAGTTTATGATGACCCTACTTGCTGTGCCAGCGGTCGTGGGTTCGAGTCCCGCTGGCGATTTGTGTGACGAGCACGAATGTTTGTATTCCAATCATGAGTGTTTGTTTTTATAATGTGTATGTATTTACAGTTATATATTATGTGTAGTGTATCAACTATCTGGTATCCATAACACAAGCCTCGTAGCTTACCATGGAACTAGATGGTGCTGTGTGTTAATGTCTCAACATATTTATTTATTTAAATATTGGCATCGTTATTTTACTATTTTACGTTGTTAAAACATTATGTAGTCTACGTTTCCTGTATATTTTTTGTAGGCTAGAATTTTTAGTAAATCTTTTACAGTTATGATTTTGTTAGAATAATTATATATAATACCTACGTACCTCTTTTCTGATGTTTGTTTATTCAAAACTAATTTTGTCCACAGCTCCATTCGCATAATATGTTAGAAAATCAATAATTATAGGTTTTTGATCGGCTTAGTCATATATGAAAATAAAAATAACGTTATTTAATAGAATAGGATAAAAACCTTGTGTTGCGCAAAATAAAAAACCCCAATGAAAACACGTAGTTTCAAATATGTTGAAAAACAGATAAGGAAATTGTGGTTCGCTATATTGTTTTTACTTCGTTATAAAGCAAATATAAATATTATTTTATTTTTAAAATAACATACAACGTATTATTATGTTTTTAACATTTTTAAGGCATACGTTCGCATCCTGTTAACTCCACTATATGATGAATTGACCAAAGAAGTTATGGATGATGAGGAAAATTGGAAGAAAAATCTTAGATCTCTAAGCAAGACATTCCTTTGTCAAGCCGGCTATAAGCCCTGTATATTGGAGGCCCAAGAACAATATGCCAAGTGGATGCAAGCACCCAATCCTGATGAAGGAAACCCGTAAGTTTGTTATCGTCTTTGGGCTGTTATTAGAATTATAATAATATTGGCTTAGGCTTAGTTGAGAGTTATTTATGTTGACTCATGCAATTTTAGAATATGTTTGATTATATTCTTCCGAGTAAAATGATACCTGCTAAGCAATTTTTCTACTGAGAATTTTGCCCTATATAAAGTGTAACCATCGATCAAAAAGTACTAGATACATAATCCCATGGAAAACTTCTCTTACAACTGTCACCAATTGTATTTAGGTAATTATTTTAGTTCAAATAAGTATTAAAACAATGTAAATTAAACCTTAAGTGCAATGGTTAAAGTTGATTTCCCACAAAAAAATAAATAAAAAGCGCGCTCAAATGTTCAAATGAGCTCTCATTCTGTGAGAACATTTTTTGCTGCTGATTGTGTATCTACTATCTAGTATTTTTTTGATCGATACACTATCGGTACACTTTATTATAAAGGTAAAATTCTGATGAACCCCATAAAAGTCCGTTTTGCTGCTATAATGATGTACGATCAAAAAAAAGAACAGTCGATTTTCCTATTAAACTGCTTATTATCAAAAATTCTTAGTGTGAGCCCAAATTCTAAAGGCAAAAATTAAAAATCAAATAGCTTGGTTTCATTTTAAGGACGTACGTAAGTAAACACGAGAAAATATTATATTATATTAAAGAATTTTAAAATATACATCCTTTTTATATTTTTTTATAATATTTAAAATACAGATTTCCATATTGATTTTTTTATTATAGAACTAAAAGTTGGATATATCTCCTTTCTATTAAACTCTACAAAGTTCGCTAAAACCTTTTCATATTACTATTGAACAAACAAAACTTTTAATGGTGCTTTTCGAACGAACTTGCGCTTATTCGCATGTAATAAGCAACTTTTTTGCTATTAAAGCTTTCTATGTAGGTGAACTGCGTATTGTGAATTGTGATATACTGAAGCAATATCAGATAATAATATAAATATATTACTATGAATTTATTATGTCGTATATTAAAATGTAGATGTAATTTAGTGCAAAGTTGAATTAAAAATGGTGATGTTTTTTCTGTTAACTTTAAAGTGTTAAATAGTAGTATTTATTTAAAGATATTTTCAAACATTTTAAAATTATCTTGAGAACAGATAGACAATATTTATTTTCTTTATATTGTTATTAGATTTAGGTTTAAACATAACAATTTTATATTTAATTTGTGCATGTTCATCAAAGTTAAGTAATGTCATCACCGGAATATACTTGGATGGGTGACCATTTTGTGGTATAAATGAGCCAATTGTATTTCGAGCCCTAACAAAAATAAAATCGATGACAAAAGCTCTTGGGCGATCTCATAAAAGCTCTGCATGCTTAAAATTTTAAAACTTTTATTAAATGGACTATAATCATTATGTTATTGCATCCTATCGCTTCCATCGCTGTTATATAGCTTACATAATATATTTTTTAGATTTCTGTTCTTCAACGATTGTAGTACATTTAGAATTATAGTAAAAATAGTAATCTATACGTATAGTAAAATTGTAACTAAGCCGAATTTGTACATTAGATATTTTTTTGGAAAAGGCCGAATCTATAGTTATTAAAATTTTTATCTGTCTGTCTGTCTGTCTGTCTGTTACTGCATCACAGAAAAACTACTGAAGGGATTTCGATGAAATTTAGTATGGTGATAGCTGGTTATCCGGACCAACATATAGAATACTTTTATCGCGGGAAAATATCTCATTTTTGAGAAAAAATACAAAAACTGCAATGAAAGAGTATACTAACATGTAAAACCTAAGAATTTGAGTTTAGGTCATCTGAACGCAGGCGGAGCCGCGGGCAATGCTAGTTATATATATAGTAAGTAATATATGTAATAAATATAATGTAATATTGCATAAATATTGAATACAGTATAATTCGTTTAGGCAGACGTTACGAAATTAAATGCGCTGAGCTCAGCTCATTGAATGGACCAGAAGATGCTTTCATTTTATATAGAGCGTGAAAATTTAATTTATTCTTCGTCGTTTATGTGTCACTCGATGTAAATAGTACAATTTACAGGTTAACTTTATACATCAGTAGTTTTTTATTCAGATTGTGATTTATTATGCTTCTAAATATATATTTTTTTTACTTTTCTACATTTTATTATGGTTCTACATTGCTTTTTGATCAAAATAGCATAATTTCTTGAACTACATTTGTATTTATTTATTTAAGAATATAAATAAAAATAAAATAAATGCTATCTAAAATGAATATTAAATAATATTTATTTACTTATATTATAAAGCAATTAAATGTTAAAATTAAGTTATATCTATAAGTACCTAATGTGAAAAATATGACAATCCTTTTATTTTTTAAATAATATCAGAATTTTGGGTTACTTTAGTTTTACGCTACCGAGATGTGGTGTAAGATACACCAAATATTATTTGAATTAAAGTAAAAATAATTCTAATGAAATACTGTTACATTTTGTACTTTACAGTGATGTCAATTTATTATTTTTGACGATAAGAATAATATTAGTGATATTATTGCATTGTTTTTAAAAAAAATCTATACAAAAACAAGCAGAACCCGCGGCTTCGCCTACAAAAAAAAACTCTTTTGCTTTATGTTATATAGCGATTTACACTCGCTTTGTTCAGGTTCGTCCCTATGTATTATACATATATAACATTAAATTATTTGGATATTATTCATATAAAAATACTAAAATCGCGATTACAAAACTGGAAAGTGGGGGTAGGAGGGTGAAAAATATTTTACGACATATTCTTATGCCTACCAAATATACAAAAAATATCATTAAAATCGGTCGAGCAGTCGGAGGAGTGCGGCCACAAACACCGTGACACGAGATATTTATAAATTAGATTAATGATATAATAATTACAAACTTTGATGAAATCAGTGTTAATTATACATATAAATTTTACTAGTGATGTCTATCTGTGTGCTAAATTTCATCCGAAACCATTCAGCCATTTCAACGGGAAGGACTAATATAAGGAGTAATAAATATACACAAATACACATAGGTACAAACTTTCGCAGTAGTGTGATTCTACTACTTAGCGTTAGTAAAGGTTTGAGAAGTATAACAAAACATCCTTCATTGTTTTTTTAGTTGCAATTTTCCTTACCTCTATTGTGTGCGGAACTTATTATTTTGTGTGCTTTGGCCATTAATAATGTGACGCATTGTTCGGAGTCTGGATGTTCTTCTTTCGTCTTTATTGTACTGCTATTTTGTTATAGATATTATTTGAGTGATGTATTTTGTTAAGTATAACTTTTGGGACGTTTGAAAAAAATATGAGTGTTAAATTTTTACCATATACGCGCACATCGATAGCCAAAAAGCGACAAGATGAAGTTAGCTTCATTCTTTTTACAAACAGAGAGTTGTGACATACGGGATGAAATCTTTAGCTATTTTTGTTCTGTTGCGCCAAAGAAGTATAAATTCTTACGTGCACACATAAGTACACACTCACGTTTTTTTATATAATTATTTTATCTATTTTTTTATACGCCCCTGTTAATTTATTATTTAAAATTAGCGACTTACCCTTACTTCCCTTGGGTGTGTTCCTACATGTCCTTTGTATTTATAATCGGGCTACTATCAGAAATCCGAATGTTTGTTCTCCTACAGGCTATAAAGTAACTCGCGGATTAAAAATAAAATTTAGTATACAACATACATACACTATGACCTGATCTTAGTAATACATACACCTCTAGTGGTCAGATTATCTGTCTTTGTACTAAATTTCATTCAAATTCGTCCAGCCTGTGTATATACAAACAATCATTTATAATTGAAGTGAAACTTTAGAATCGTCGTGATTTGAAACTCGATGAAACGAAAATGCGAAAGTAAAAAGAGACAAGCACATAAATATATAGGATTAAGCCGGTGAGAGAATGAGATAGAATACATTTCCATGTTGCCATGGTAACCGTTGTTATAATTGTCTAGCAAATATATAACATTATATTCTTTCCGTATATGATATTCTAAAAATATATGATTTAATATGCATAATATGCCTTATTTAATTATTGATTTGTTTTATTTGCGATTTTTGCCAAAGAAGTTTTACTTTTAACCATTTTTACACCCATCTTTTTATTTATATATTATGACATTGTATATTCCAAGCTAAACCAAAATTTATCAATCAACCCTATTTATTTCAGGATATCTAATCAATATATTTGCCCAGTTTTCAAATGGGGCACCCAAAAGGAGTGGGATTTTGGACTACAAAGAGTTATAAATTTCCCTCCATCAAGGAAACCTAGTGAGAGGACGTATCTCCTAAAGACTCTCGCCGGGTGTCCTGTGCAGGAGTACAAGATCCAAAAATTACTTAATGTAACCGTGTTAGAGGGTAATGGGAATTTCACTGAATCAGATCTGTTCTTGATCTTCAGCATGCTAACTGGTAATTCGCAAGGGTACACTACGCTGTTTCATTTTCTTTATAACAAATGGGATTTTCTTAAGGAAAAGTAAGTGAATTTCGTTATTTTTTTCTGGCTCAACGGCTTAGCATATTAAGATAATGGTTTTTAAATTTAAATAACAAACAAATAATTTGGTTCAGTTCGTATTTGATCGAATCAAACCTGTAGCCCATGGTATAGTAAATCTGTTGAAGCTATGATAGTAAAACCCAAGCTACTGCCACAGTCTACTTATCCATACAGTCGTCGAAGACATCTAGACTGGGCAATAGTGTGGGGCGTGCGGGAAGAGACGTGGACACCCGACAACCATACGTCCTTTCCATCCACCAGTCGGGATACGGCTTTAGGGTTGACTGTACCTTGCCACGAGATGGCACTACCTATTACCTTTTAGTATTTTCATCGAGATATTAAATTCGCCACAAAAGTTGATGTTTTTGACAACTCTTGTATTATCGTCGACATCAAAGACCTACTGTATGAATTTTAATGTTGCGATACTGCATTATGTCAGTCAATAAATAATACACAAATAAATTATAAACATTATTATACTGAATAATATTATAACATAAAAAATTGTTATAGGTTTTCAAGCAAAACAAATATCTGGGATAATCTAGTGACATCAGCCACGTCACAGTTTACAACACAAGCAGGGTTAGATCTCGTTGCAAACCTGTATATAGAGCGTCAGGGACAGTTTGGTTCCGCAGAACATATAATTGAAAAATCTATGAGAAACATACGAGAAGAGGCTAAATGGTCAGCAGAAAACTTACCCGTCATAGAAAGCTGGTTGGATAACTATTTACAAAGGGCTCAGGTTAATGATGATCAATTTTTGAGTGAATGAAAATTTAAATAGAGCTCTTAACATTTAGTACTAAAATCCATATCATTAGTCACTATCTTATATGTTAAATAATCTTTAGTTTGAGACAGTACATATATTTATACCGACATACAGTCTTACTTTTTATTGCATATTTCTTAAGTGATACTCGTGGTTTAGGATATTTATTTTAGATTTTTTTGTCATTTTAACAATGTACCTACATTTAAAATATCGTTCATTGTAAATTTATTAATTGCATATTTAAATTTAAATAGTTTAAGAATGTAAAAGGTTTTGTATAAATTATTATTTAAATAAATAAGCTTTAAAAATATTTAATGCTTTTTTTACTCCCTACATAAATGTTTTTTATCATTATTCAACCTCTTTAATGAAATATTAATTATATGCTTCAAAGTTACATAGTTAATAGTTTAAAGGGTAAAAATATCAATACATTCATATATTCTATAACGATAAAATTCACAGTGAATAAAAAAATACAAACGCTTTCTGTTCAGTGAATAAAAAAATATGAACGCTTTCTGTACATGGAAGATATTTGAGAAAACCTGTTATTGGGGGCCTTTATTAACGTAATAGAACCAAAGCAATGATTTTTAGAATTGGTTTTGTTTGTCTGTGCGTTTGTGCGCGCTAATCTCAGAAACGGTAAACCGATTTGAGCGTGGTTTTCGTTAATGTATTGTGCTAAGCTTCACTTAAGATTTGTATTTGTTTTATTTCAATCGGTTCAAAAATAAAAAAGGTATGTCAATTTAAAGAATCATATTCGGGATGAACCCGAGCGGAGCGAAGGTGAGGCGCTAGTCTATACTTATTACTCATTGCTTATAATATTATAAAGAGGTAAAGTTTGTGAGTTTGTGACGTTGAAGGGGGTAATCTCTGGATCTACTGAACCGATTGATTGTTTAGATGAAATTTGGTAACAAAATAGTTTGAGACCCTGAAAAGGACATAGGACTTTTTATCACGAAATCATCCCTTAAGGGGGTGAAAATGGGGATGAAAGTATCTATTAGGAAGCAAGCTAGGGACGAACTCGAGCGAAGCGAGGGTGAGTCGTTAGTAATTAATAAGTTTAAAATGAAACCAGTTTCAATGAAACGGTATAATTCTTATCTAATGGGTTTCTTTTTTTGAGTTTCTTTTGGGTTACTATTAAGACTTCTGAAAAAAAAATACTTCAAATTGGTTCACAATTCTCTGAAAGAATATCGTTTTTTATAGTCGGGTAAACAGAGTTTCAAATTTATTTTTCTTCTTTTATACCTGTGGCTTACTAACTCATTTTGATGGAAGCCGATGTATTCTTGGATGTATTGATAAATTTCCCCCATGAGATTAAAAAGTTGAGACATGAAACATGTTCTAACCCCAGCAAAGTATAAAATTTTCTCACATAAGTAATACTTTCCTTTTGAATAGCCACGAGAGGGTTGTTCAGCAGAATGAAACGTCAGTAGCATCTAAAATGTATAGAACGTGGGATTTCATTTAACCGACTTCAAATGAGAACATTTTTAAGTCGTCTATGTATATTTGTGTGTTTAAGTATTGTGGCGGAGTTCGATTCCGATGAAAAATCTTCTTTTAACTTTTCACTGTACAATTGCTAGTCAAAAATGCTTTCCTTAGTTTAAGTTTTCTTCTTGGTATCCAATCTGATTATTTTTTTTGTTTTGTGGCTTTAAGGAGTGCCATTTGGACACGGAACTTACTACATTTCCAGAAACCTAAATATAAGATCATAATTATTCTAATTTGTACAATATATAAAGAAAAATACAGAAAAAAAACTTGTAAATCCTTATCTTACAAGCTTCTGGACCGCAATGTGTAGTACCTTCCAGCTTAATTAAGTAAAAAATATTCATTCAACGAAATAAACTTTTTTCTTAATATAATCTTTTGAATGAAGCGATGTTTATTAAATCGGAATAATCGGTATCCTGCTTCGTCGTACAAATTTTATCCAATAGGATGAATTTATTATATTTTTATTATACTGATATGAATATAAGTAAAGATACTGTTATAATAATGACACGTTTGACCTAGTTTATAGTGACTCTATCTGCTGTGCTAGCGGTCGCGCGTTCGAGTCCCGCTGGGGGTATCCATATGTGTGGCGAGCACGAATGCTTGTTCCAGTCATGGTTGTTTATATTTACAATATGTTTGTATTTAAAGATATATATGTGTAGTGCATCTAATATCTGGTATCCATAACACAACTTACCATGGAAATATATCCCAACATATAATACTTTGACATAAAGCTGTTGTAAATGTAGGCACCTAGTGGCTTTTGTAATTATACTCGTATAATATACAAGAAGCGCAAATTTAATTATTAGCAAAAGTATAAGTATTCCCCAGATCATAGTTTATCTCCCCTTTACGACGTAAAAGGTTCCGTTGACTTTTAGTGGATAATACTGGCTTTTCGAGTCGGTAGATGACTCTCCGTTTCACTTGCTTAAATGCAGGTTGCAGGTAATATGTGTAAATTGTATTTTACAATATTTAAAAAGGTTATAATCTATCTATATAGAAATTTTCATTTAAATATGTCCAGCCATTTTAGCGTGAAAGAGTAATATGCATACAGACCTAAACAAACACATATAAATTTTCTTATTTATTATATGATACGTTTTAGCGGTTAGTGTAGATTCCTCGGAGATGAGATATTTTTCCGCAGTATAGTAAAAGTATCCTATATGTTGACCCGGATAACCAGCTATCACCATACCAAATTTCATCAAAACCCTCCGGTAGTTTTTCTGTGATGCGGTCATAGACAGACAGACAAAAAATCAAAAAACTGTAAATTCGAATTAGATCTAAATATAGCTTAATCTCTTTGTTTTACATATATCATACAGAGTTTAATGTTTAAATGATAAGATTTGCAAAAATACCAAGAAAGAGAAAAGAACAGGTTCATGAGTTATAGAGTTTTGACTTCAGCAACTAATTTAATTTAAGTAGTAGTGAAAATTCTTACAAATTATAAAAATAAAGTTATTAAATACAGAATGGTATAAATAAAACGTGTAGGCAATTGCAAATATACGCGTGTTTGATAATGAATTCCGTCAATTACCCACTGATTGAGTCCAGCGATGTGAGAGAGCAAATATTTAAAACTACGCTTTTAATTGTAACGTTTAATTGTTCATATCTCTATATTGGTATATTAAAAGATTTTAATTAAATTATCATTTACATTTTATTGCAAAGAAAGTATTCTACTAAATTAATTTTGTGGTATAGACTTTTCCCAAAAATGTCAATACTTTTGTTTATTTTAGGTGGCTTTAATTTTGAAAGGTATTATTTTTGACTAGCATTGCCCGCGGCTCTGCCCGCGTTCAGATGACCAAAAACGAAATTCTTAGGTTTTCCATATTAGTATATTTTTGCCTGAGAAATGAGATATTTTTCCGCGGTAAAAAGTATCCTACATGTTGACCTGGATAACCAGCTATCACTATACTAAATTTTATCAAAATCCCTCCAGTGGTTTTTCTGTGATGCGGTAACAGACAGACAGACAGACGGACGGACGGACAGACAGGCAGACAAAAATTCTAAAAATATGTATAGATGTATTATTTTCTCGGAAATGCGTGATGAAATAGCATATTTCTGAATTCTTTGCTTGTTTTGGGGGTAGGTATTTTTAAAAGAAGCCTGTTATTATATTTGCCCTTGTATTCAAGATTTAAAAGAAATCAAAAAAATTTAGAAATAAAAATAATTATTGTCGTCTGAATGTACGAATGTGATATACAAAAGAAAAATGTTTTGGCTTATCAATAAAATTTCAAGACAAGTAACAATATTGTTTCACCAAGTTTAAATATAAGATGAAAATATTTGTATAATATACAAGCAGAACCCGCGGCTTCGCTCGCGCTAGAACTATGAAAAAAAATCTAAGAAGATAGGTTTCATACCAAATTTCATGGCCTACTTTATCCCCTTATGGGATGAATTTCGAAAAATGCTAAAACACGTATTTATTTAGTTGTATCAAGGAACATTAATACTAAGTTTCAAGTAATTCTGATCACAAATATTTTTGGGTTGTATTATAACACGTTTTGAGAGTGAAATAATCTCCCGCGGTAAAAATTAGCCTATGTCACTCTCAGCCCTCCAACTATCTTCACACAAAAATAACGTCAATCCGTCATACCGTTTCGACGTAAAAGAAGGACAATCAAACAAACACACTTTCACATTTATAATATTAGTATGGATTGTATATATCACTAATCAAAGAAAAGAAGCAGCCAAGGAAATCGCTTTTGATATTTTGTAAACTTTAGTAATTACTTTCTTAACTTTAAAATCACTTCGATGGTAGTATGTATTTATCTTGAATTTACCTTAATTGGGTACATCCCCTGTTTGAAGTCGGTCAGACAGCGGGCTATTCCTACTACATACTCGTATATAATGCAAGTTTTTGCTCGCGGCTTCGCTTGCGTGATAACTGAGGCGGGATTCCAAGGATGTCCATGTTCATTCCCATAATAAAATTTATGTTATTCCATAATTTTATAGCAGGTTGTTTATGTGTGAAAAGGCAACAGATAGAGATAAAGATTTCGCAAGCTGAAGTAATTTCTCTTTTTAACCTCCGACGCAAAAACGACGTGGTGTTATAAAGTTTGACGTGTCTGTGTGTGTGTGTGTGTGTGTGTGTGTGTGTGTGTGTGTGTGTGTCTGTCTGTAGCATCGTAGCTCCCGAACGGATGAACCGATTTGGGTTTTGATTCTTTTATAATTGAAAAGTGAATTAGTCGGGAGTGTTCTTAGCTATGTTTGATGAAAACCGGTCCAAGATAGTCGGAGATTTTTAATTTTTTTTTTTTGAAATTTTTTTTATTTATTATATAAATATTTTAGTCGTAATGATTGTATTTTATTTAATTCATGTACATTCATGAATTACATACGAGTATCATACTGTCAAGGTTCTCGTGATAACCTTAAATATGTAGATTATGGATATTATTTTAATATAATATCCTATGCTAACTTTTTTGTTTAAGTTACACTATATTTATTAATTCAGTGTGCCTATTCGTGCGATAATATTGGATGAATAAAAAATATATTATTCGTCCGACTATTTTTGGTGTGTGATATTGACAATTTTTACCCGACTGCGCGACGCAAAAGAGGGTAATGTGTTTATCTGCCTATGTATGTACGTATGTTGGTTTGTATCTTTGTGGCACTATTTAGACCAAACGCGTGAGCAGGTTTTGATAAAATTATGACACGTCGATTTATTTGTCACGACAGCGCAAATGTCACAGAAAGCATAAAAATTTGGAAAAATCAAAATGGCCGATTTTGGACCCCATAATGTAAAAAAGAAAAAAATAAAAATCGACGATCTATGTCAAGTGGGGTATCGTTGAATAGGTATTTCAACACCATTTTTAGGTTTCTCTCATCATGTTTCTATAAAAACATTGGGATCTAAACGAATAAGTTTTTATAGAAGTTTTCAAGAATAGGTTAAAGTTATTTTTTTTGCATATAGAAACCCCTGAACCTAAAATAATGGGTATATTTTACGTTAGAAATTAAAATGTGTTAGATATTCGTAAAAACCTTTTTTTTTTTAACAATTTATTAATTTAACAACACAGAATACTCAATTCTATTCTTGAATTAAAAGTAATCTAATTTACTTAATTAGTTTACTTTATTTTATATTATGTTTATCATTATTATTACATTAAACCTAACCTTCAAACGATCACTTTAACAATATTGTAATATACCACTCGAGTTCCTTACATTAATATTGCAAAAAAGGATAAACTATCGAACACTCTTTTCCACTTTAGCACTTATAACTGCAGATCCGGATATTCTAGAATCGGGACAAATCGGGACAAGAATTTAACGTATTTTTTTTGTACAGTGCTTTTCTGTTAAGAATTATTACTAATCGGAGTTAGAAAGAATTAGCATCCATTTATGCACTATAATATCTACTACAAATATGGCTAGTGTCTGGCTGAATTCGGTCAGGATAATGTTCTTATTGCAATATTTTATAAAAATGATATTTAGTACTATATGTATTAAAATAATCCTAAAATTTCTCTTTTAAATTCATTACAAGTCTCTATAGACACCTTAAAGTAATGCCATCTCTATAAATGTAAGCACAGTTGTGATCTATCAAAAAGCCACTAAAGCCAAAGCAAACGCTTTAAACGACCCCTTTAGATGTTTAGTATCTAAATATGAAAAGGTTGAAACGATAACGAGTTTACTTTAACACGATAAAACTCGGTAAACATTTTTCCAATACTTTCTATTGCGGAAACTCATCAAGAGCGGTCGAGGCTGTGAAGAAATTTTATTTTCACCTTTTACCACTACTTCTGACTTTGGATGGTGACAATTTTTAGCTTAATTGAGCGCTCGGTTTTTTAAAGTGTTGGTAGTGAAAGGAATTTCTTTATGAAATTGAATTAGTTTTATTCATATACTCTATGTTGTGGGAAATTTATTTGTAGGATAATTATTATATGACATAATAATAAAGATATTGACTGATCTAAAAAAGAAAGACATTTATTGAGATGTAATTGTTGTAAGATAACGCAATATTCACCCAATTTTAAACTTATTGTAGAATTAACTAGAACTAAATAGTTAAAAAAATAGTCTAAACTTCTTCTATTATAATGTGAAGTACGTGCACTAGTGTAGTTTTACGTCATCAATATCAATTCATTATTTGAAAACATATGCCCATTCACAAATACCCATGGAGTGATGAAGCAAACACTCTTAACTGGTGTTATCTGACTTACTGAATAACTTTAATATATACATAGCATTTAGCATATAGTCTTTTAGTAAATATGTAATTGTAGCAGAGCGTAGTACTTGTTGTAAAAGCCTTGTGTCATCAAATGTCCTTCTACAACATGAGCGACTAGTGACTTCCGCTAAACTGGCGACTCTTTTTTTATATTGTACACCTGTATACTCGTATATAAACATGCCCCGATGACAGGTCTACCAAAACAGACACAACCAAGGGGTTGCTCATTAGCGTCCGGCAAAAGACTGGGTTGCCGGAGGCTAGCGATCCCTACCACCACGATAACGACTGGCAACTTCTAATGTATTCTACACGTAATTCAAAAATCTAGACTATGTCCTAAAACTCCATTTAGTACTTTAACTTAATAAAAGTCAACAAGTGATTTCGGAGATCAGTCGAAAACAAACAAACACAGAAATCTGTAGTGATATTGACATCGCGCAAATAACCATATAAGTAAAGACATCACATAGATACTTTAAATTTATCTATCCGTACCACTTCACAAACGACCAATAAAATTTTAGTAACATTTGCATAAATACATATATCCTCTACTTATATAGTACAAACCTATACAATATCGTGTCTTTGGAGCCATGTAATAGATTCTTCACGCTTCTTTTGGTATATCCTTTAAGAGCATTAGATCTAAGACACGATGCTATTGTACGGCATCAGTCATGTACTACAATTTCTGGGGAGCTCTCTAGCCGCCGGCTGTATCTACACTGTATGTTGCGACACACCGCTCTGAGAATTGCTATAAAATATCGCAATAAATAATATTTATGACGCGATTTTTGTTCATGCTTATCCATTTGCTTGTAATATTATGACACAATTATTAGTTATTATTAAATTACAAGATAGCGAGTTCAAAGTTTTATAGACTAAGTATTTCACTGTTTGGGTAGAATTTATTTTAACCGAGTTTCAAAAAGAAGTAGGTTCTCAATTCGTCGGAATCTTTTTTTTATGTATGTTCACCAATTACTGGAAGACGCTTGAACCGATTTGGATTTTTTTTGTTCCAAAGGTATACTTCCCATGTGGTCCCATTAAAATTTTATCGAAATCAGTCAAGCGATTTAAAAAAAAATCAGTAATAATTATTTTTTTAAATAAATTGCTTTATCGAATATATTATTCAAAAACTTTCTTCTTACAAAATTACAAAAACAAATTACCCGCTTATTACGTCTACATTAATAATGGAGATATTAAAACTTTAAAAAAACTGACTTCCAGGTACTAAAATGTAAAAAATAACTAAACTGGGGTTTTCATTTAAAACCCCTTTATTTTATTTGAAAAAAGTTTTTGTAAGAATATGGAATTTCCCTTTTGTTGTATAAGTCCTTTTTAATGTCCCACTGCTGGGGGTGGGCTTCCTGTGAATACGAAGGGGGTCAGGCCATAGTCCACCACGCTGGCCAAGTGCGGGTTGGTGGACTGCACATGACCGTCGAAAACTCGTAACTTTCTTTCAGACATGCAGGTTTCCTCACGATGTTTTCCTTCACCGTAAGACAAGTGGTAATCATGTTGGAAATGATTTGCACATGAAAATATCAGAGGTGCGATACCCGAGATTTGAACCCTCGGCATAATATAAAAAAAATCAATAAAATTAGTATAGATAATTTAATTTTGATTCTCGACATAACAGTGATCTCTTTACAATTACGAAGACAGAGATCATCTCTACATAAGTACAAATGTATTTATTTATTTGTTTATATGTGAGGCACGATGGCTGCAACTACTACACTCGATCTCAAAACTTTTTCACTTATAGAACGCTACGCTAAAATGAAAAAAAAAAATTAACTGCTGGAGAACCTCCTTTTGTTGGAATCGGTTAAAACGTTATAAAAAAGTTGAGAGGTGAGAAATATTTCTAAGTAGCATGAATAATTACATTTAATCATTGAAAGAGCAGTAAATGAACAAACACATTAATCATTACAATCGTAAAATTAAACTATATTAAAGTTAGATAAAATAACCAATCCCCGTTCAGTATGTCACGTGTTGTTTGCGCTAAGACGTCTCTCGCAATTATCGGAGCAAATGAAAATTATAAAGCAACTACGCTAAGATGTTAGGCCTATGTTTTGTGGTGCTAGGTAAGTTTAATATTGTGTCGAGCTAGAAATTAATTATACACATTAGGTAAGTGTAGTGGTTTTGTTTTCTACTTAGTTATTGTGTTTTGTGACTAAAGTGATAAACAGGAAAATGCTATCCAAAATATGTGGCCTGTTATTAAAGCATGTAATTACTTTGATAAAGCTCTGAAGCATATTATATTTTCAATTTTACAATAGCCTATTAACAAAAAATTATGTGCAAAAATCTGCTTCAAAAATTACTAAAATATATATTATGTAGGTTAAGTCATTTTTCACCATAAATAGTCCTCACGATACTCTGTTACAAAAATTTACTCAGAAATGTATATTTACTTATAGGACCTTTTTTTTAGTCAAATAGATTATCATATAGTAATTTTTGAAGCAGGTATTTGCACATAAATGATTGTTAGTCGATAACAGCTAACAACCTACTTTTTATTTCGGCACATTAATTCCTGTAGGATATTGTACTAATTCCAGTTATTATTGGAGAGTATAAATATGTCGTATATTATTTCAACAGCCACATTTATAGCACTGACTGAAGCAGAGGGGTCATGTCCACCCACACTATCAGTAGACAAATGTGAAGCACACTGTGGACCAAGTGTGCCATGTAACGGCACCCAGCTCTGCTGTCCCACTGCTTGCGGGGGAGCTATGTGCGTGGATGCGATGACGCAGAGGCATTTTGTTAATTTAGGTAAGAAATCAAATTATACGGAATATATTTTATTCAGTTTCCTAAGTCATTTTGTGGAACTCACACATACATACATATATCAATAGGTACTAAACAAAAAAATCTACTTTTTAGTTATTGTTTGAAGAAGGACAACGCCCATTGTTGACTTCGTCATCAAATCATCGTCGACAAAGTATATAGTATAGTTATGTATAGTAACTATCATGAATGTATAGCTCAGATTGCGTAATCCTGGATTTGAGTTCCGGGTCGGGCCAAAAACAGTTATAGAGTTTTTGTGCCAAGAAATTCTCAATAGTAGTAGAAAGCTAGTGAAAAATTTTGCTCAGGTTTCCTCACTCTCAACAAAAAAATCCGATACTGGTGTAGCGCGAAAATTGGGGTGAGTATTCGCTATTTTCCTTCTATTTACTTCGCAAATATACAGGAAGGCAAAAGGTATTGTGGATATCTAATATTAAAGACCGTCTGAGCTGAGCATATCGCTAACAGTTCTTTCCTCTTTCGTTTTTCCTATATCAACATTTGCTTGATTTCCAAAATTCCCATTTTTATTCCAACTCTCATGGCACTTATAATACTCATCATATGACTTTAGATATAAAGAAGTAGACGCTTATTTTTTACTGCAACTCCAACAAGTAAGAGCTTGACAGGGACGCCACAAACACAATAGAAAAATTAAGGAAGCGAGCACGGTCTTTAAGGACTCGAAAACATCAGTTTTCTAACATATAGGGCTTTTTGTATGCGTTTCTGATATTATCTAAAATTTCTAACACCTTAACTTTCGTGTTTTAAGGCTTATTTTAGGTTGAATTAAATATTTAAAAAATGTTTGATGCTATACTATGCGAGTAAATCTTACTTTGTTCGAACTAAATTAATAAAGTAATGAAGAACTGTGTTCGAGAAATCAAACTTACTTGGAGATAAATTTTGGTCATTTCAGAGAAAAAAGGCCGTTGCCCAGAATATCCACGAGGTGCGTGGGTGTGCAGCCACACCTGTACAGGGGACTCGGACTGCCCCCGAGCTCTTAAGTGCTGTCCAAACAGATGCGGCGCGCTCACCTGCCAGCGACCAGAAGCCGAAGATATTCCTCAACCTCTATAATTCTTTTCTATATTAATTATACTTAAGTAAAATATTTGTTCTTTCCTAAAATTTATTTAATTTACAATATTTGTGATTAATCTATACAATTATATAAAAAAGATTGTTGTTTGTTTATTAGGACGCGGTAACTGCTGAAATATTTTGAGAAATTCTTTTCATATTTTATAGTCTATTTAAATAAATATAATAATAGGTGGCGCTGTATCAAATTAGATCGCGCTAGCGTTAGCGTTTAACGCTTTAATTGTTTTCATTTTCTACATCATAATATTACAAAGACTTACTGTATTTTACATAAAATGTGCTTGTAAATATTTTCTTTACATTTCCCAGTTACGTTTTATTTATGGTAGTATTCTTTTCTAATATTCTAAGAAATGTAAGTAGAACAAATTTAGATTTTAATTTAAAATGTGGTTTCGCTTTAAAATATTATCGCGTTGATAATATCCGAGTGAAGCTCACATTCATATTTTGTAAAAGGCCATGTTCAACACAAAAGTGTACACAAAAACTATTCAACTCTGCCCTCAGTAAATCGTTTGTGCGATTCAAATGAAATTCATTTTTGTGTTGAAAAATTAAACTTTTGTACTATTTAGAACAATTTTTTATCCTCAACTATCATGAGTTGGTAAAATTTTATATAAAATCGGTTAATTTTTAAATCTTTAATGGTTTTGAATTTTTTTTTGAATAAGTTGTTTTTATTATACAAAATTGTGTTAAGATCATTATTTTATTAGCAATAATCAATTTTGTTTGACCTACATATTTGATGTCTGAGTACTTCCTATTCAATCTCTATCTTGAATGTTAAAATTTAAGTTAAACTATATTTTTGGATTTTTACGCGATTTTATTTTGAACTTTTTCAATTTTTTTAGTTAATTAATTTTGCCATCAATTGCCATTAATTAAGCTTGACATTTTATTAAAATTAAAATATTTATTTTTTATTTTTGAGCCGATACGTACAGACGATGACGATGGCTAGGTGATTAATATTCATATTGTGAAAAAGCATTTTGACTTGCAACATTCCTAAGCTTCATTTCAATCGATTCAACGATATCTAAGCTGTTTTGATCTAACATCGATTTCACCTCATAATTCCGGGCCTTTCTATACAAAGGAGATCAGTTAAAGTGAACATAAAATAATAAATAAAGAACCTATCATTTCATGACGGGATCTGTAATACAGAGAAACACAAAACACAACAAACACCACATACACAGCGACAAACGTATTGGTCATATATATGTTAACGCGGTATATATAAACATTTGTCCTAAGCTGCACTTGAACTAGGGATATTATGGAGTTCCGTAACCATAACCGAAACTATCGGTTATCCGAAATAAAAACTTTTACAATTCCATAAAGATGTAATATCCGCAACTGTGAGATAATCCGAAATAATTTAATATCCGTAACCGTATCTGATACTGGTATAATGTTATTCAATAGAATTTATGAGAAATGGAAATGGATACGGATAATAATTCGTATCCATTTACATATCCCAAATTTCATATCCACAACATCCCCGATTTGAACTTACGAATCCACCAGATATACCTACGAGTATAGGTACTCTGCATCCTAGCACGCTAATAAAAGCTAAAGCCAAACTACACACAAAAGCTAGTATTAAATAAATTGAACCGCATTTTTATAGATTTATATTTAAAGCACGAACGAGAAGAAATGAAATATAAATGTGTTACGGTTACACAGCTTATTTCCACGTACGATTTGTCTAGCTTGTAGTGTGAAACTTTAATTTCCTTTTGCTTTTATATAAAGGATTCTATTATTACTGGTTAAAGAAAATATAATTTAATAGTCAGTCACATCGACATTCGTCCCTAGTTACGTTTTAACGTTTAGTATAGATTTCTCAGACATGAGATATTTTCCCGCAGTAAAAAGTATCCTATGTGTTGACCCGGATAACCAGCTATCATCATACCAAATTTCATCAAAATCTGTCCAGTGGTTTTCTCGAGATACGGTCGCAGACAGACAGACAAAAACTCTAAAAACTATAAATTCGGACTTTGTATCGATAACAATGAGCATTTCAATAAGATTTTCCAAAAAATATTTAATGTATAGATAGATAATGTTGATTAAAAAAATCAATTTAAGAAATACCGTCAAGGGGCTGAGTAGTTTAATACTGCTCTTGTAATTTTCAAAAAAGGTCTTAGAGCATAACTAGGGATAATCTAGAGACTAGAAATTTGAGATAATGTGTGGTAGAGGTTGTATTACGTGCTTTATCTAGACTACATCGGAACAAACTTAATATTTGTGAGTTCGCCTTTACCCTTTACCTCCTAGCGGAATTGAACGTTAGGTGCTACAAAATTTACGCAAAAGTGAGCTTTAGGAGTTACTGTAATGGTCAAAAGTTATTTAATATGTGTAGTGAAATTTTATAAATGATAATAATTACCAATATAAATGTTATTTTATTTTAAATTAAGTTCAAAACAACGCCATCTATTATTAACTTTAATACACTATGAAAGAAGGCCGTAGCTTAGCGGACAACTCAAGAACCGCTGGTTAGATATCAATATGGCTTTGTCAAAAAGTTTATTAGCAGTTCGAAAAAAACGCCTCAGTCCTCAAATCCTGAAGAATTACCAAAAGAAAACTTTATACGATTTTTTTCTTTTTATATAAATTTTGAATATTATTTACAAAGTTTGAAATTGAAATGATAAAAACAATACCTAGTATTATGCAGTCCACCCGGGCGGGAAGCCAACAGATGCACATGTGACACCTCAGGAGGTGTAAGATGCCGTGGTAATGGTACTTCTTAGATAGCAGAGTGGACGTGAGAGCAATTTCTTGGTTTCTGTGGAGGATGAGAGGAAATCTGCCCCGGTAGGTGAGCATCGGGATGTCGTTATTGACAGCGTAAATGATTCAGATGGAGAAGATCCTGTGGGGTTTTATTACATAGTACTGGCTTTTCTAGCTGGTGAGTCATCATATAGTCCGGATAACGATAACCTATCTACAGACGGTATATATAAATGCATTTTCTAAAGTTAAAAAAAAGGAATTTATTTTGCAAGAGAAATTGCCTGACTCTTAGACATACAAATGGCTGCTGACAGTAAAGATTTTTATAGTTTTATCAACGAATTTGCAATTTAGTAGCGTAGACAATGTTACATATTACAGTAACAGCCGTTGGATTGAAATTGGAAAGACCTAAACAAACACCTGTGCAGTGGAACTATTAAAGATGCTGTAGTTTTTCTGTGGATTACTTTTTTAATAGAAAATTAGTCTTTAATATGAAACCATCTTTTCGGATTTTTTCGCGGATTTATTTAGATGTTTGATTTTTACGGCAATCATGGTCACGGGTTTCTCTCATGACCGCGAAGTAATCCAAAAAAAGATTGTTTTATTTAAAATGTCAAATATTCACGTAATTCTAAGAAAGTATTATTAATGAGAAAATGAGTCTCTTTGTTTTTAATAAAAATTTACTTTTTTAATAGTCGTTATTTAATAAGTAGTCTATAATATTATTTTTTTAACGATAGTACTCGTTAAATATTATAAATGGAGAAGTGTATATTTTGCTTGTTTGTCTATTTGTTTATTATTTTTTCACAGCTTTTTATACGGAGATAGGTTGGAGAGCGACGTAATCTAATTTTAACTCTGGAATATACTTCACTTTCACGGGAAAACATGTATTAATAAACTCATACAGAGGTAATTTCAATTAATATATTTTTTTATAGAGAACGCAGACCTCCAGAGTGACATAATGTTGTTTCATTCAGTCGTTTACTGAAAAATATTACAAAATAAATTGATGGAGACAAATGATTATAGGTTCTACAAATATGTACCAAAATCAAAGAAAAAAGTTTCCAGTGTTAAACTTAATAAATATTCGCCAACTGCTTCAAAATAACTACCATCACTCAAGATAGAAATATCCTATTGAAGGGAGGCCAATTCTCCAGTAGTAGGTGGCTAAAAATACTGAATACATACACACACGTATACAGACACATTGCTTTTAAAGTGTTCTGTGATATATCAAACGTGTTACATTTATATATTGGAGTAACCGTCGTTTTGTATGATACAGGTTATAGTTGGCTTTATTGGTCAATAGGTACGGATTTACATAAACCAAATCGTTGCTTGAAAGGCTTACTCACAGTTTTCATATTTGCACGAGTTTTTATTCCATTAAAATCGTTCAACCGTTTGATTTTTTTAAACGAATTGCGTTGCAAAGGATTTGAAAAGAAATATTCCCTTTTTATTTTAAAATATTCCTCTATTTGAAAATTTACTCTTTAAATAAAATGAAAATCGTATTTGTTAAGTAATTTATAAATATTGGTTTTAACTAGATTATCGTTAGTGCCTACAGCGTAGTTTGATAAATATTTATTTGTATAAATACAAAAAAAAAACATAAAAAAATATTTTTGATGTGAAACATCTATTGGCGCGCCTTGGCAGTAAAACCGCATGATGCTGTCATGTCATCATGCCCCTTTTATGCCAATGCTCTCGACACCCTTGTGTATTCGCACGCATATACTATACACGCTACATTGTAAAACAGTCTGTATTAAAAAATACTTACATATATTCTATTCTATTTATGAATATATATATGAATATATAATGAAACTCTTATGTTTTCTTTATTTAACTTCAGTTTTCATTATACGTTTTTATTAATTATTAATTCTCATATTAACATAGATGTTTCACATCTGGCGGCTTCCAACCCCGGTTCTCGCACCTTTGGTATTTTCTTCGATCTTTTTCGACATGATTACCACTTATCTTATGGTGAAGCAAAAACATGTCTTCGAAACACATGTAAAGTCCGCCAATCCACACTTGTCCAGCGTGCTGAGCTATGGTCCGATCACTCTTGTACTGAAGGGCAGAATACATACTGAAACTTCTATTAAATATCT